GACAAAACTAATGTCAATTTTAACTGAATTTGGCGCTTTTTCGATATGTATTAGTAAAATCTTACCAAAAAATTGAGATTTTAGTTAAGTAATGTGTTTAAAAAGTGGAAAAATGAAAAATAATACCATTTTTCACGAGATTTTGTTTTTTTTTAACATTTTTTTTGACAATATTTACCTCAAAACGATTAATTTATAAAAAATTAATAATTTTCCGGCCCAAAAACAAACTAAACCAAGCAAAACAAGATAAAGTAATAACAATTTCTATCTAATTCGCTAATTTTCAGCTACTTTAAACAAAATTTGGTTGAATTTGTTGAATTTTTGGATTTTTTTAACGAAAATTTGCGAAATAATTGTGATTCTAGCTAAAAAAGAATTCGAAAAAGACAAAAAATAAATTGTCATTTTTGATCCTGACAAAAATAGGACAAAAATTGTCATGATTTTTGTGTTATAATATAAATTGTTTTTGTGATTTTTAAGCGTGATTGGACAAGATTTTGCAAAATCAATGAGCCTCTGGTTCAAAAACGGAGTAAGTCGAGCAAAACAAGCTAAAAATAATATCAATTTCGACTTAATGTTGTAATTTTTATGCCTGCTTCAACAAAATTTTTATAATTTTTGTTTTTATCTCAAAAACGTGCTTAAACATTTGAAAAAGGCGAAAATATCACCATTTATTTATGGGCTGTTTCTAGCTGTCGAAAAAGACAAAAAATAAATTGTCATTTTTGATCCTGACAAAAATGGGACAAAAATAGTATAATTTTTGTTATAATTTAATGGTTTTTCGTTTTTTTTTTTTCACGAAACTTTGCGAAATAATTGCGTTTCCGTCTTAAAAACGTGGTTAAAAACAGTAAAAAAACACAAAAATAACAAAATTTCTGATATATTTCTGTGATTTTTCGGCTTGTTCATAACATTTTAGGAAATAATTACATTTTTAGCTGAAAACATGCCAAAACGCAAAAATATTATAATTTTCGACTAAAATTTGGCGCTTTTCCGGTTTGTTTTAGAAAAATCTTGTCTCTGTGTCCAAAACGTGCCAAAACGCTAGAGAAATACAAAAAATTTTAACTGAATTTGGCGCTTTTTCGGTATGTGTTAATAAAATCTTATCAACAAATTGAGATTTTAGTTCAATAATGTGTTTAAGAACTGGAAAAATGAAAAATAATACCACTTTTTACAAGATTTTGTTTTTTTTTACATATTTTTGACAATATTTACCTCAAAACGATGTATTTATAAAAACTTAATGATTTTCCGGCCCAAAAATAAACTAAATCAAGCAAAACAAGATAAAATAATAACAATTTTCATCTAATTTGCTAATTTTTTAGCCAGTTTAAGCAAAATTTTTCGAAAAAAATTGTTTTAATTGTTTTCTCAAATTTGCGAAAGTTGTAATTAATAATCGAATATTTCGGGAAGCTAATAGAGTCATGATCGTGTAAGAATTTCAAAATTTGTATGTTTGTAATTTTTGTTACTTCGGAATGCAAATTTTATACATATTTACGAACTTTCCTTCCGCGTGCGACGCATGTTTTCTCTGGTTATTTAAGGAGAAGTGACTGTTGGAGATGCTCCTTTTGTAAATGCACACCAATAAATCATTGGGTTTCAAGTAGTTCTCGTTTTTGAAAAAAAACTAAAACTTTATTGGGTTTTTTCTGTTTTTTTTATACCAGGTGATCAACAATGACTGTTTGAGTTGGCAACAATTTGATTGATTTCAGTGTTGCTAACAGTATTTCATCGAAAATGAACAGTAAACTAGGAAAACTTTTGGAAATATAATCATAATTTATCTCGTTGTTAGATTTTATCTTGGAGCACTAGATATAAATAATAAAGACAACAATCAGAAAGCATGTTTTGATTAAAAAAACAATAAGATATTAATTTATAGTTTTAAGGTTGGCAACATTGATAAAAGCACCGATAGCGCTTTTATTATCTAAATTATCAAAAAATGGGTCATTAACTTGTATTTGCTATAAGCAGTGTTGCCAGGGTGACAAAATACGACTAGATCTAGTGATTTTCATGCTAGTCTGGTGATTTGGTGAAAAATTTAGTAAAAATTCAATATTTAATGAAATTAGCTTTTTTACATTTTTCGAGCATTCTGCATGTTTTTCAGCTAGAAACTCATTATTTCGCAAAATTTTCTTAAAAAGTAATCGAATAAATATTTGTTTTTATGAGATTTCACTAAATAGTGTTGAAAAGTGGCTAAATTGGGTAAAAAATTACATTATTTTTGATTTTTCAGAGTTTTTCAGGCAGAAACGAAATTATTTTGCAAAATTTCGATATAACAAGCCGAAAATTCACTAAATTATTGACCAAACAAAAACTATAATATTTTTGCATCTTTTGCGTAATTAAACGTCCTTGGTTTAGAGTGTTTAGATACGTTTTGAAATGAAAATATTTTTTTTGAAAAATTTTGTTTAAACTGGCTGAAAAATTAGCAAATTAGATGGAAATCGTTATTATTTTGTTTTGTTTGGTTTAGTTTGTTTTTGGGTCGGAAAATCATTAATTTTTTATAAATAAATCGTTGTTAGGTAAATATTGTCAAAAATATGTCAAAAAAAACGAAATCTTGTGAAAAATGGTATTGTTTTTCATCTTTCCAGTTTTTAAACACATTAAAATCTCAATTTGTTGGTAAGATTTTACTTACACATTTTGAAAAAGCGCCAAATTCAGTTAAAATTGACATTAGTTTTGTCTTTTTTAAGTGTTTTAGCAAAAAATGCAATACTTAAAATAAGCAAGCCAGAAAATCACAGAATTAAGCCGAAAATGATGTTTTATTTGAATTTATTAGCGTTTAAGCTCGTTTTTAAGACAGAAACGCAGTCATTCTTTCAAAAACCACATTATTTTTGCCTTTTCAGAGTGTTTTACACCCAGAAACAGATTTTTTTCATACAAACAAGCCGAAAATTTACAATAAATTAGGCCAAAAATTGTGATTTTTGGAATTTCTTTACCGTTTTTGCACGTTTCAAACACAGAGACAAGATTTTTCTAAAACAAACCGAAAAAGTGCCAAATTTTAGTCGAGAATTATGTTTTAGCATGTTTTCAGCTAAAAATGTAATTATTTCCTAAAATGTCGTTATGAACAAGCCGAAAAATCATAGAATTATACCAAAAATGTTGTTGATTTTGTGTTTTTTGTGTGTTTTTAAGCACGTTTTTAAGACAGAAACACAATTATTTCGCAAAGTTTCGTGAAAAATAAACCGAAAAATCATTAAATTACGACGAAAATTTTTGTCCTGTTTTTGTCAGGATCAAAAATGACAATTTATTTTTTGTCTTTTTCGAATACTTTTTCATCTAGAAACACAACTATTTCGCAAAATTTCGTTAAAAACAATCCAACAACTCAACAAACTCGACCAGAAATGGTGATATTTTCGCCTTTTTCAAGTGTTTAAGCACGTTTTTGAAATAAAAACAAAAAAAATTCTAAAAATTTTGTTGAAGCAGGCATAAAAATAACAACATTAAGTCGAAATTTATATTATTTTTAGCTTGTTTCGCTCGACTTACTTTGTTTTTGAACCAGAGACACATGTATTTTGCAAAATCTTGTCCAAACACGCTTAAAAATCACAAAAACAATTTATATTGATATTATTTTGTTTGTTTCACTCGATTTAAATGGTTTTTAAGCAAAATAACACAAAATAAGCTGAAAAATACAAAATTTGGTCGAAAATGTTTTTAAACGAGTTTTGGTAGTGAAATCTCAGGTTTTTTTGCTAGATTTCGCTAAAACAAACTAATAAAGCACCTTTTTCAGCTGAAAACGCGATTATTTTGCAAAATTTTTGTTGCAAACAAGCCGAAAAATCACAGAATTAAGTCGAAATGCATTTTTGCTTTTTTCAAGAGTTTAAGCGGATTTTTAAGCTAAAAACTGCATTTTTTCGCGAGATATAGCAATACAAATCGTAATCTGGTAAAAATTTGGCGAATTTTTCTACTCAGATCAGGTAAATTTTACGTTTTTGATCTGGCAACACTGCTCAGTGCACCTACAAGAGTTACAACATGTTCTTTAGGTAAAAATGCAATTCCTTTGCAAAATTTCGTTTTTTGCAAACCGAAATATCACAGAATTAGGCTAAAAATGGTGTTAATTTTGCCTCTTTTGGAGATTTAAGCACGTTTTTAATCTGAAAACTCCGTTTTACATGAGATTTTGAAAAGAATTTAAATCATAATAATCTTGTAATCTCGTGAAAGTGTATTTGTATCTGGGAGCTAAAGTCCCTAGATAGGGACTTTACTTTCAACATCTGGTGTTTTTTTTAAGTTTTTTTTTTTAAAAGTTTGCATTTAAGTGATTTAACTTTTCCTTATTAGCGCAAACTGCTTTTCCGGTTCCTCAGTCTTTAATTAGTCCCAAAATCCAATCAAACAAGGAACTTTCCGCCTGACTTCCTTTGACCTGAAAGTAGCCGACCTTTGTGACCCCCACAATAGCTAACTCTATTACCTGTGCTGTTAAACTGAGTGGAAACTTCTTTTTATTACGTTTATCGCAACGCATCTCGAGTATAACGTAACATAAAGAGACAGTTGAAGTGACATTTGAAAATTAATCTCAGACGTGACTTGTACTTTCCGCAGCCTAGGATTAGTTCAATGTAATAAAAAACGCGTCTCGTCAAAAGAAAGTTATTAAAATACGTAACCCACAAAAACGCACACAATTGGCGGTTCCCAGACGTATTTCATCCTTTCATAATTCACTTAAAACCGGAGACAGCGCGATAATTTCACACGTCTGCCAGATTTGAGAGAAAATTCACGAAATTTCACTTTTCTATTCGAAAAAAATCATTTGGGAAGCCACCAATTAAGAATAATTTGTCAGCACCTTCAAATTCCGACCTTTGACCCCCCAACCAACAAAAGAAGAGAAAGTTTTCCCCAAATAAAACGCCAAATACAACAAATTTATTTATTTAAAAAATCAGCCAGTTTTCTCCTTATGCGTGACCACACCTTTGGCGATCAAATCGGGGATTTCCACGGCGAGCCAAGGCCCCAACTGGAACAGAAAAATGAGTGGGGTCCCCCATAAAAGCGCGTTTTTACCCCCAGTGCCATGGCGTGTGCGATCCCAAACTTGGGGACGTTTCGAGCCCACAAAGGCTTGAAGTGGTCACTGAGACAAATCTTGCCCCCTCTGTACATTTTCGCCGTTTTGCCGTCGAGCTCCGGGAGGGCGATTTCGGGGGCCGTCGAGGGGTACATCACTGGAATCTGACACAACGTTACAAGACACAAATAGCCCCCAAATCGACTTACGTCAAACTCTACATCGAACTCATATTTGAGCAAATCGTGGATGAACCAACATTTTCCGAACCACCTGGTGCCTTCTTTATTTGATTCCAGACGGAACCAATCGTTGTCAGCATCTTTGTTGTTTTGGACGTACTGTAAACATATGGTTGGGGAGTGAGGTTATGTTAAATGTCACTCACTTTGATTAATGACTGGTATTCTTCCTTTAAACGTTGGACCCATAATTCTTTGTCTCGGGGCCCCGCTTTTGTCTTCAGCAACGGAATACTGCTTAAAGTTTTTCTTGTGCCTTCGTCTACCATCACGAAGTAGGGACTTCTGAGTTGTTACGTTGGTGGCTCAAAAATTAAACAAACTTGACAACGGTGGATTTTAAGCATAATGATTGAAAAGATCCATAATTGTTTGCCTCAGGGCCTTGTTTTTGTCTTCAATAAAAGGTTACAGCTTAAAATCTGTGCTGTGTTTCCAACAATTCTCACAACTTGGGGACTTTTCGTTTGTCACGTTGGCGATAGCACCATAAAAAATGGAAATTACAGTCGACCAGTTCGCAAAAACAGTTTTTAACTACGATTCGTCCCCTAAAACTCTATTTGGCTTACTTGATACATAAATAACTATTTTTGATTTTGTGAAATTAAATCGTTACACTTTTTTATATTTTGTAAATAATGAATGAATTGGGCCAATACCAATTGTGTCACCAATCGTGACAAAAACCCTAAATAAACGACATAACCTCAAACGTCACAATTTATTAATTACGATGAATTCACAAAAAAATGATGCAAATTGAGTTGACACTTGGTAAAATTGACAACAAACAGCCCCCCCGTACATTACAAGTGGATTGCGTGTTTTATCACTACTTATCAAAAGAACTGCGGTTGAGCCCCCTATACCGGATTTGCTTCATTGAAACGCAAAAAAGCCGCCAATTCCGGTTTATTCTACTCCCCACACGTTGCAATCTAATCGACTATCAATGGTGAGTGTGAATCATTCGATAATTAGGCATAAACTATTTTTTTAGGAACGAGAGAGTGACGGAAATGGTCCGCGAACGGTGCGAATTGGACCACGCAATGTCCTGGTTGTCAACCCTCGGCGGGGCTTTCTCAGCCCTGGGTGACTACTTCACGAATTGTGCCCAAATCGCCGGAAAAATCTCCGTGAATCAATTGAAATTGGCTTTGAGGTTAGGTGACCCAACTGTGGCCTCCAGGTGTCGCTTGTACTTTAGTTTAAGTTTAATTCAACAGAAAAGGTTCAAATTAGCGAGACACATTATTTATCAGGAGTTTATAACTGCGAAAAATGCGACTGTTGTCGATGAAAGACTTGTGAAAATGTGTAAAGGCATTTGGGCCAAGCTGCAGTACGAACACAGCTTGGGTAGGAGTCGCAAAAAATAAATAAATTATAAGTCTGGTAACATCAGCGATTTGATTTTCTTCACGCTACGCTCGCTGGGTTTGGTCATTATGTGTTTACCAAAAACTGTGAATTTGATTTTGTCCAAAGTGAACTGGAAAACTGACGTATTTTTGGGGATTACTAAAATAATAATAATAACTATTGGGGATTTGTTAAACTTCAGGAAACATACTTTTCAATTGTGATTTTGGGGTCACGATTTGGAACGTCATTTTCGTCTCCAACACCACAGTCCCACTCAAGCCCACGTGCCTGGGGCACTTTGACCTCACCACTTTGATTTCACTGCCGATTAATTCCGATTTGGCTAAAATTGTGGAAAAGTTTGTCCAGTCTTGGTCACTACAGCGGGGCACAGGTCCGGCCAGTTCCAAATTTTGGTTCATATATTGACGCCACATTTTTCTTATACTTTCCAGCGAGCTGTAATCCCAGTCTGATTTCGGCAATTTTAAAATGTTGAGCTCCTTTCGCTCCTTTCTAGTGAGGAAAGTTTTCTTTTTCCGAATTGGTTTGTTTCTCTTCTTTGAACTTTGGTGCTTGTCGAGGAGGAATTGCCATTTAAGGTCGTGAACTAGTTGCTGGGAGTCTCCTTTTGGGAGTTCCTTCTTGAGCAGTTTTTGGAGGTAGGTCCCAGGGTCCCCAATATCGGGGGCATTGCTTAGGTATTTGTCAGGCAAACTCGTGTATAAATCTACAAAAAAACATCAATAAACCCGGTTAAAACTTGATTTTAAACAATTTACCTGCCATTTTTTGTGGTATAAAAAAGTTAGGTTAAATGTCACTTGCAAGTGGTGCCAACTATATCACCAACCTTTCATCGCTAAGTCACTAAATGGAAGGGGGGACCACAGGTAGTTTGAAATGCGAAATTGCTACACTTTTACATGTATTTATTTAAATATTTCAAGTTTAATACTGTTTTAAACATATACAGTGCACAACTTTAATAGTATAAAACTAAAGCTGTTTCATTGTAAATACAAAAAAGGCATACATTAATTGATACGTATTGAATGAAAAAGTGAAACACACGAACCGCACAATACCCGAAAATCAGTACCTTAAATAAATTTAAACTTACAAAAATATACTTTGCAAAAAATGAGATCTTTACGAGAGAGAAGTGAAGGGTACTGAGAGAAGCCTTGAATTATTATCTGTCGATTATTAAACTCTACGTCTCTATCACAAACTGATTTCAGTAAACTCATCGTTGAAAAAACTTAGGCCTAAAAATCTGAGTTATTTCCGCTACTAGATTAACCATAATCTAATAAAAAATTAAATCTTTGATATAGATAAGACTAGGTGAGTGTTGTTAGCGTTTTTTAAACCTGTCAGGGCAACATTAAAAACGGAAATTCCCACCATAATATTGACTAGTAATTCACGCAGTGACTTAACAATAATTTTACAATGGCGTTTCTTTCCTCCAATGAAAACTGTTCGTTTTTGTACTCGGATTCGCGCCGGACGTTGATTTTCTCAAGTTGGCAGCAGCCGTATCCAACCCATTTTTCACATTCGCTACCAATCGCAGCGCTGGATTCGTCACAATACCGTTACGTTTCGGCTTCTGACTGCTAACACAACAAAAATTAAAACACACGATTACCAACCCCTTAGACTCACCTAGATTTCGAATTAGACTCCTGATTCTGGTCATTTTTCTTATCCGACTTGCCCACAAGAGCGCTACTCGAGTTACCCAAAATGATCCTCATGTGGGTATCGCGCGCGAAATGCATGTCCGGCGCCTTGGCGAAGTTGTTATGCCGCAAAACGGGCTGGTAGATGTTCATGCCGCCTGTAAAGTCTGAAATTTATTAAGGTCGATAATACAGATTCCTGGAAAATTGCAAAATTAAATCATTCTTTTTTACTTAAATCTACAAAACAACTCGAAATGAGTGTGTCTGTGATAAAAAGACTCGTCTAGGTGCAATATACCAGAAACTGACGTTATATTAGATGTTCATAGTGTTTGTAAATTCTGAAATTGATCAAAGTGGATAATACAGAATCCTAGAAAATTACAAAATTTAAGCAAAATACTTGATTTTTTTTACTTAAATTTACAAAACAACTCTATGGTAGAATGTATGTGATAAAAAGATTCGTCTAAGTACAATATACCAGACACTGGCATTACAGTTTCCTGTAATATTTGCCAACTGTAAACAAAAATACTAGTTTTCTTGATTTTAATTTACAAATCATGTCGAGGATAGTGTATGTGAGGTGAAAAAGTCGTCTGGGTTTAACATACTAGAAACTGGCATTACAGAATCCTGTAATAATTGTCAACTTTTGACAAAAATACCAGTTTTGTGGTTTTAACTTAAAAATTAAATTAAGTTTAGTGTGTGTGTGGTAAAAAAGTCATCACAGTGTAATATACCAAAAACTGGTATTATGCTCATAGCGCCTGTAAATTCTAAAATTGATCAAAGTCGATTCTTAGAAAATTACAAAATTTAAACAAAATATTTCATTTTTCTTAGTTAAATTAACAAAACAACTCGAGGGAAGAATGCATGTGATAAAAAAAACTCGTCTAGGTGCAATTACCAGAAGCTGGCATTACAGATTCCTGTAATAATTGCCAACTTTTGACAAAAACACTAATTCTCTGGTTTTAATTTACGAATCAAGTCGATTTTAGTGTGTGTGTGATGAAAAAAATCATCTCGGTGTAACGTAACAAAAACTGGTATTACAGATTCCTGTAATATTTGGTATAAAATGGCGTACCGAACATGTTTGGTGTGTCGTGCACGGGACTGAGCGGCGGCGAGGCATAGATAGGGCTTTGTGGCTCACTCTGCAACGGCGATAACAATTTACTCAAAGGTCTAGTCTTGCCACCTCTTGTGCACTGTTGCAATTGCTGTGTGAAAGACATAGGTTGCGAATTTTGTGAGTTTTCTCTCTGTCGGTCACCGTGTCGACTCGAATGACTCGATCCTGTTAAATTCGAGCTTGATTTCGAATTCGAACTGTGATTCCCCAACGAGACCATTGACCGTCTTTGTTGGTCACACCAGTCGGCATTTCCAGGATAGAGGACAGCACATGATGGTTTTGTTTCAGCCGTTGATGCTGACGTTATCGAGTTGGCACTACTGCTCGTATGTGCCATCTTGTGTGACCTTGCATTGTACTCCTCCAAGAGTCTTACAACACCTCGATGACCCGATTTTGCAGCCACTCTTAAGGCGTTGCGTCCGCACGCATCCGAATGGTTGGGGTCAGCGCCATGCTCCAGGAGTGCCACCACACACAATTCATGGCCTTCTTGAGCGGCTATACCCAAAGCTGTGGCTCCTTGATTGCAAGTGTGGTCCGGCAAGGCCCCATGTTCGAGTAATAATTTCACAATATCGCTATGGCCTTGCCAACTGGCCGAATGCAAGGCTGTGCGATTTTCAAGGTCACAAGCGTCCACTTGACATTTACCATAGGTGAGGAGAAGGGAGACCATCTCGGTGTGGCCTTGCCAGGCGGAGACGTGAAGCGGAGTCCGGCCCTGCTTAAAAAAAAATATACAAAAAATTGAGAAAAAAAAATTGTATGTACCTCTAAGTCACGTGTTTCCACATCAGCCCCTTGTTGGATGAAATATTTGGACATGGCTAATCGATTATCAAGAGCTAAAACATATAAAGTGCTTCTACCATCGGCATCTTTAGAATCGATATCAGCGCCATGAGTGGTTAATAATTGAACCACCTCGTAATGACCCTCAAGTGCTGCCAACCTTAAGGCTGTCTTCCCATCGTGTGGTCTTTGATCAATTGGCGCGTTATATTTATCTAAAAATATACTAACTAAAGCTGCGTGCCCCCCTTGTGACGCTAAGGCAAGCGGTGCTTTGCCCTCATTATCAGTCTCATCTATACGCGCCCCAGCCTCAAGTAACGCCTCACAGACGTCTTGATGACCTACAATAAACATATATGATTAAATAGTAATTATAATTTGGCCACGCCCACCTTCAAAAGCCGCGTAATGCAGTGGCGTCCACCCGGAATTATCCCTATGTTGTTCATCCAATCCCCGATCCAACAATTGTCGCACAACCTCAACACATCCTTGAGCCGCCGCCACTGACAACACTGTCCGTCCCTCCGAATCCATCGAATCGATACAACAGCCCCAAAATAGCAAAAGTGCGACAACAGGGGCGTGTCCCATACTCGCCGCCGCCCATAACGGACTCCTCCCACTATGATCACAATGATCCACATCGGCCTCATTCTCCAATAACAATTCGCATACGTCCTTGTGACCTTCAAACGAAGCAACCAATAGCGGCGTCATCCCCTCTTTATCCTTATGATCAACAGTAGCGCCACGTTCTAGCAGTGTTGAAACGACATTAACGCCAGGCGTTCGTGGTGCACATAACGCCGCCACTGATAATGCCGTTCTGCCATCGGCATCGGCATGATTAACATCGGCACCGAAATCAAGAAGGTGTTCTACGATTTCACTATGACCCATATAGGCGGCGGCGATGAGGGCGGTTCGACCCTCGTGATCGGTTAGGTTAACATCGGCGCCATGTTGGAGGAGAATTTTGACGATTTCTTCATGACCGGACCAAGCAGCTGCACGTAAAGCGGTACGATTTTCGGCGTCGACGCTGTCCAAAGCGCAGCCGTGGTCCACCAGGAGTTCCACCACTTCGGTGTGACCGCCCCAGGCGGCGGCACGAAGAGGCGTCCAACCGTCCACGTTGGCCTGGTCAGCGTTGGCACCGGCCTCCAACAGCACCTAAAACACCCAAACTTCAACAACCCACCTCGTATACACAATAAACATACACAAGTTAGGCAACCAATTATACAACAGCGCTCCTAAATAAAATAATACACAGCACAGTAAACTAAAATAACACCTAATAGGGCCTATTCTGTAAATACTTATTAAAAAATAAAGGTACCTTTAAATTTCAATAAGCTACTCGTATTCTGTATGCATAAAATTAAATGCTCATTTAAAAATACATTTTTTAAACGGACCCTTTAAAATATTCGGCTTTCATGGTATTAAATAGAGGAAATGTTATTATTTTGTTATAAATGAACTATTTTTGCTGGTTTTAAATGATGAGCCGACTACGAAAAAGTGTCAAGCCAGTTTTATTTGTCATTTTCCGTAAAAAACGTTCAAAATGCTTAAAGAAAGATTGTCACAAATGACGAAAGCGCAGAAAGAAGTGCACATTTTAGATCAAACTCATTTTAACGAATTCAAAATAAGAAAATTCAGAAAAGACAAAAAAAAAAGAGAATTGTTAAGCCTCAGTTTGTAGGCATAGCAAGAAATCGAAAACGAAAAATGTTTTGAATTTTTGGGCAGTAATATTCTTTGCTACAATAATATGGTTGACCTGGATATAAGGGATGTTCTTCTGGGGGAAAAATAATTTTAATATGTGCACAGTCAATAATTACAATCGCAACTTCATTAACAGGAAATTTTATTAAAATATTAATTAATCCTCGAATAATTGCATTGGTCACCTCATTAATATCCCTACTTAAATTAGGCTAGCTCTGACACTATGTCCTATTCAAGTAAGGTAACTACCATGCCCAAAAAACTACAATGCACTTAAAACCCTAAGGTGCACTGGTATTCTAGTATTTCGTTGTGCTGTTTGCATAATTGACTAAATCTTAAAAACAAAATTTATTTAAACCAAATAAAAGCATCATTCAAAGTACATAAATAAATTTGTGGTATCCCGTAATTGACGCTGATAAATTCTATAAAAGCTATCCACAAAGTACCCTTTAAAAATTAAGCATTTAAAGGTGAAAAATAAAGGGGGTATTTAAAATTTTAACAGGAAAGATACATACAGAATAGCATCACAAATTGACAGCGATTATAAAGTTATAAAAACAATAATTCACACAAAAATTGGTGTGTATTAACATTGTTGGCGAATTATAGCAAGTCATACGTAGACTTACCCAGACATTATCGCGTAATTTGAATCTGATTGGTTGAATTTAAGAAATTTGAAAGATTTGATTGGGTTAAATTCCGTGACGTCACGTTATAAAAAATTTGTATTTGTACGACTAAAAATCTCTTTGTAGTGTAAACAAGTGTAAAGGACGGAAAAAATGATGACGTAGAATTTGGTAATACAGGGTGTTTCACATAACTTTGAGAGACTTGCGCCTAATGTACGCACCCAAATATACAAAAGTCACAGAACAGAACAAACTTTTCCAAAATTTGTAATCGAGTTCGTATATGTATTATTGACTGCATCTTTCAGGCGTAGGCCTCGTAAAATTATGTGAAACACCCTATATTCGAACAAAGGCCTTTTACACCGGAACTGTTACGAAATAGTTTTTTTGCCGTTTTCGAGAAAATTATTACAATAACGAGTCAGTCTTAGCTGAGCTCTCGTACGAATCACTTGTCGGAATAAATTATAACTTATTATTTGGTGGTTCTGTCGAAATCGTATTGAAATGGGTGTGTGTTTTGTCTAATAGACATTTAGTGGTGCGCGATTTTTAAAATTGCGAGTGATTAGTGAGTGCCAATGGGGGTAATGGTGAAGACAATCGTGCTACAAGGATCCGGATTAAAGGGTAAGTCAACAATACRTTTTGATTTTTTAGAGAAATTACACTTATTAAATTGTATTTAAAATTTTCAATTAATTTAAAAACAAATTGAACTAATTTTGAATTTCTTTTATT